AAGTAACCTTTCCAATCGATAAATTTGACTTTTGTTGTTGCTTTAAGTCTGAATTGATGAAAGAAGCCAAATTAGTGGTGGAATTTACTATAAGAAAGAAGAGAAGTTAAGGAATGAAAATTTTAAATGTACCTCAGAATAGGGGCTCAATCTCCTTCTTGTTGGATGCCGATATACATAATCTATCTCGATGTCTGGAATGTGAAAATTTTTGAACCATTCAAGGCTGCTTCCCTTCGCACATCCTTTTTTTAGCTCTGGGTAGTCAATAAATTGAAGAAGCTGCAACTTGGAGAAGGGTTGCACGGCTTTTGCAAAAGGCAGATATTTCAAATTTGTGCAATGCAAAATCCACAGAGTTTGAAGAGATGAAAAGCTCCCACTTCGATTGAAATCACCTATTCCCAATTCCCTTAGAGAAGTGAGGCGTTGAATTTGAGGTGGTAGATAAGTTAGTTTTTCCCACCCACACAACACTAATACTTGAAGGAAGGCGTGGAGGCGGTGGATGGAATTGAGACATGGGAACTCCTCCGACTCTTTTGAGAAACCACCAATTTCCAATCTCTCCAAGCAGACAAGACGGATGAAGTTCTCCTCCGGAATACTCCTCAAATTTTCACAGTGGCAAAATTTCATACTTAACCTGAGTGGAGGAGGACAGTCCACTTGGTTCCTTCACCACTGAATTGCATTCATAAATGCGTAATTTTTTTAGAGAGGGAAGCCCATTTTCACTTACAACGAGCTTCAGATCTTTACATTCAGATAGATCTAACTCTTCTAGGCATGTGAGGGTAGACATACTTTCCCCAATTGTTCCCAATCTCGGACAAGACCAAATGTGTAGTTGTCTGAGGGACATCGGAAAAGCAAATTCTTCATCTCCAATTCTGGTTAATTCAAGGCAATCTCCAATTTGAAGCTGTTCAAGAGATGATAACCCGCTCATGCTTGGAATGCTTTTCAACTTTTTACAACTTGAGATTTTCAAGCCTCCCAAATTGTTGAGCGAGAATGATTGACTCAAACTAGGCTTCATCCATGACGGACATTGTTCACCTCCATAATATTCCATAGTTAAGTTTCTCAAATATGAGGGAGGTTTGAGGCCTGCTAACACATCTTCATCATAACTACATTCTTCCGGATTTCTATCTGCCCATTCCAATCTCAACTCATGAAGTCCAATCTTTTCCGACAGTTTTGCTTTCCTAGCTTCTGAGGAGTTTTCAATGTGCTCTAGATTACATATCCTTAATTCACCTCTAAGTTGGCTCAAGCATCCCAATTCCTCAATTTGACTTCCCTCTTGTGGACCGACAACAAATAACTGCAATGTTTGAAGATCCTTCAGCCTACCAATTCGGAGTGGCATACAACTCTTTTCATTGAAATAAAGGTGTCTCAAGCTGACTAAGTTTTCCACCCCTTCTGGCTGTTTTTCCATTAAATGACAATTCATGAACCTCAGTGTCTGCAAACTATACAACTCCATAATAATTTGAGGTAGTTCTTTGATTTGAAAGTATGAAATGTCTAGATACCTCAAATGCTTCATCTCGCCAATCCAAGTTGGCAACTGATTAGTATTAGCTCCCCAAAGGCTATGTCCCCCACAGCTAAGAATGCGTAACCTTTTGAAGCTATCTGGCATCTTGCACAAAACATCACCTTTAAGAAATAAGCTATGTAGCTTTCCAGCCACCTCCACAAAATTTGCTGGCACCATTTCCTCAGCATCAACGAGATTCAAATGCAAGACCTGAGCAATATTGCCCTCTGAACCGGCTTTTAAAGTAAGTGTTTCAGATTTTGAAATGGAAGTGGCAAGATTATGAATTAAACCATGCATTTTGCATGACTTAATCTTGCTAGTTGAATCTCTTTCTTCATCTAGAAACAAGGAATATGATAACAAGTCATTGAAATACTTGTCACCAATATCCTCCATAGAACTTCTTTTTGATGGCTGAAGAAATCCTTCAGCCATCCAAAGTTGAATCAACATCGCCTTTTCAATTTCAAAATCCTTTGGGAAAATAGAACAAAAAGCAAAACATTGCTTCAAATGGTTTGGCAAGTGATCAAAACTCAATTGTAGAGCTTGATTAATCCATTCCCCACTATCATCTCCTGATGAACTAGTACCCCATGCATCAAAATTATTGTCAACTGACACCCATTCACCTCTATCCCTTCGATAGCTCAAACTAGCGCCAATGACATTTGCAACTAAGGGCACACCTCTACATTTTTTAGCTATTTGCTTCCCAATCGCTTCCAATTCAAGATCACACACTGAAGAACCTCCAAATGCTCTCTGCTTTATTATTGACCAACACTTATCATCTTCTAGTTCTTGAAGATGGTACATGTGTTCTCTAAGTGTTCCCATTATAGATGCTACTTTTTCACTTTGAGTTGTTACAACCACTCTACTACCCTTATTTTTATTTATTTCTAACAAACAACCCCTTAAGGCCTCCCACTTCAATTTGTCCTCATTCCACACATCATCTAAGATGAGCAAATAGTTTTCATTCTTCAACAAATATTGTACATTTTCCACTAGAGTAGCCTGGTTTTCAATTGAACAACCCTCCTTCGTAAGAGACTCTAACATCTTTTTTAGGACTCTTTTGACATCAAAATCTTCAGACACACAAATTAACATTATTTTACCAAAACAACTCACTATTTTTTCGTGATTTTGCACTGATTTTACCAAGGTTGTTTTTCCTAGACCTCCTTTACCCACAACAGATATGACAGAAAGGGGCTCCTTATTACTTGAGTCAACCAACAAGTCAACTATTGTTGACACATCATCCTCTCTTCCTATGACTCTAGGACAACAACTAGGACAGGAATATGTTGTTTGAGGGTTGCTTCTAGGTTCATGGCTAGCAAGTCTAGACTGAAGTCCAAATTCAGTAGCCTCCTCATTAATCTCAACTATAGATGCAATAAGATTCTTGATCTTATTAGCCATCTTGAGACGAAATATGAAACGATTGGAGAAAGTAAAGAAAAGACACACCTTCTTCTCCATTTGCTTCTGAATCCGTACCTCCTGTTCCCGTCTTTCACAAACAACCTCGTCCAAAACATCCTCGGCCTCACGAACCACGTCTCTGAGCTTCCCAAGCCAAAGCTTCACAGCCACATCTCCAACTTGCCTACTTTCTGCATCTTGCAACACAGCACGGATCATGTCCAACTTGCTGCAAAGCCGTTTGAGCTCTACCTTCCAACTGACCGCAAGGTTGATTTGCTCCGTCGCAGCAGCAATCACCTTGGATATGGTGGCGTCAACAATAGGACCCAAGACAACGCTAGCCATCTTCACTTCAATAGCTCTAGAGAAAGTATGCCAATGCTGGAGAGTCAATAGCGTTATGATGGAATGCGGTGGTAGATGGGTGTGGATGAAAGAAACGATTATATATCCATGCGGAGAGACTTTGAGTTACATTTTTTTTATTTTCTAAATCAACTTATGCTTTCTTTGAAAATTTCTATATTACCCTTCAGGTGTCTTCTTTCTTCCACCAAACTAACCATTGGTTGAACCAATGGTCATCACTGCAAAAAGTGTTAAACACGATGTGCACTCAGGTCTGAACCCAGTTTTTCTCTCCCTTTTTCCTGAATTACCATTGTACGTTATGTATTAGGAAAATTACAGGCTTACTTTTATGAAAAAAACATGAAGGCTTACTCAATGAACACACACATCGTTACTCACGCGGGTCAGATAAAATAATATAAATAAATTTATTCCATTAAAGGAATATCTCTGACATGACCAGAGAAGCCTTTAGAATCTAATCTATGAGACAGAGGGTTTGAGAAACAACCCCTAGATTACCCAAGCAGCTTCCATGCTTTTATCATCCAATATGCAATATGAGTGGCAGCCGCAGTCACCTTCAAGGAGATCGTTTCCTGTTGAATGCAATCTGGGCGGCAGTGACGATCACCTTGAAAGAAATCAGCCCAGCCCGATCGAGTGAACCCAAGCGATGTCCGCATTGCCATTCTCCATTCTCTAGTTTTACATGGTCTTTTATATTTTTCTTGAACTGTTCAATATCCCAATTCACTAGTTCAATACTTCAATGGGAACTCCAATTCCACACAATTTTCAAATTTCATACAATTAATTACAAACAAATTCAATGGGTTTAAAACCTTCTAAAACTTGTGAAGAACAAAAGAATGAACCCAATTAAGAGTTACGGTTATGAGAAATTTTAAAATCGGAATTCAATTTGCAACAAAATCAATTGGGAAAATGGGTTTAACCCACGTAAGAACACATATAAAGTTGAACTCCCATGCAAACAACCCAAATCTTTCATCTGAGTTTGGTTTAAGGATTCGAATTTGTGGATCAAAAATCCTAAAACAAACTCTAATTACTAGAGATTTTTCTTTACTTGGCTCCAACAATTTCATCTCGTGTTAAAACGTTGACAAACAAAGTCAGTTTACAAAAATAAGAAGAGTTTTCTTAAAGATTTTAGAGAGAAAAAAGAACAGAGCCCATGAGGAGGGCGGAAGAAGAAAGAGTAAAAAATGACAATTTTTACAGTGTGAATCTATCTATACCTAAGGTTAGGGAAACTTCAATTTATTTACAAATTTGCCATTGTCAAAATTTTAAAAATATAAAATTTGCGGTAACTGCGGCAGGGTTCTCTTAGCATTCTGTTTGGAGTTAGGAATGGATCATAATTGGGTGAATGACTGTAGAGTGAAGTGTTTTTCCCACCAAATTGGTGTAAATATATTATTTTATTAACGGTGTCTTGCTGAAGAGTCGCACGACGAGGGCGCAAATCAGCCTCTTATTTTTTTTTGAAAATTAATATAAAAATATTCAATAAATATAATTTTAATTTATATTATAAAAACAGAAAATAATAAAATCCTTTTTAAAATTATTGTAAGAAACAGGTGTTTGAGTTTTAATTGGGTTTTTTTTTTTTTAAATATGTTCACATGAGATGAGATTGAATCTAAATAAAAAAAAAAATACATATTTTTTCAATATAACTAATGTTACTAGATTTGAAAGGTCAAATGTTAGTTTTAATTAGATTTTAATGATTCATTTTTTGAAATATTTATTCTTGAGACATTTTCCTTCTCACCTACAAGCTAGGCTTGAGATATTCCATTGAAATCATTTCTCTTGGCACTTGTAATTACACAACGTTTGCCTCTTTCCTAACCTTAGCAATGTGTCATTAACCCATCCTATCATCTTAATTCTCAAACCACCAAATCAGAAAAATTCATGAGTGAAAAGTAAAGAAAGAGTAGAACTACATGTACGTGAACATAAAAGGAATCTTATTTTTTTTTACCAATAACGAAATAGGAATCTTGAAGGATATTAAAATTTCTTAGGAACGATACTAACGCAATAATCTAGATTTATACACATGATTTTTTTTTTTTCTAAATCAAGAGGCATCTGGATGGCTGCTTAACCCAAACGTCCCCTTCCTACTTTACTTTATTCCAAAGTTGTTGTCGCATATCTTTATTATTTCTTCTATGCATTGCATTCCTTTATTCTTCTTTTTTTTTCCCCTGAAATTCAAGCAAACCATAATTCTTTATTGCTTACTTTGATGTGAAGCTGGGTGGGCGCATATGTTCTTTTCTTTATGATTCATTCCAGAATGTTATTGGAATGCTTTAAAGTATTCCATTCCTTTCTTCTTCTTTCTTCTTCCTCTTTTTTTTTTCTTAGTACTCCATCAATTCCTTACTTCGAGCCAATTCTTTCAGCTTCTCTAAAAGAGTGCGATCTTCATTTAGGCACATTTATGTTCCTTTCTTTATGATTCAAATTTATATTGATATAAAAGTAGCCAATAAGCTCTCAAGTTTAGTGATTTATAATCTAGAAGTTAAGACTCTGCAACCTTCTTTTTCTTGTAATTTAATTTTTTTAATAAGTTTTTCTTGAACTTTGTTTGTACTTAAGCCATGATAAATGTACTGTATATAATTGTTTACTAGCCTTTACAAAGTTTTTTAACTTGTACATTTAAAGAACATGTTAAGAATGTATTTTCGCCATAAATTTTTACAAAAAATATAAGAATTGATATTAATTTTGGTATCATTCTACATAGATAAATTTAATCAAATAGTTCATAAATTAAAAATCAACTTTTGTTCTTCTAACACATATTTATGACTAAAAAAAATTAGTACATTTTTAAACATGTGCTCTAAAAACACTAATAAAAAAACATTAACTCAAAAAATACTCTAATGAGTTGAATTTTTATACATGTTAATGTGAAATTTTTGTCTCGATATTATTGATATTTGGATATTTTTATGAGATTTTACTTAATTTTATATAATTTCTATCTTTTGTGTAAAAGAGAAGTTAATTAGAAAAAATCATAACTTTTAAGATCAAACTAGAAATATAAGGATTAAGTTGGACAAAATCCAAAAGTTAGGGACCAGGATTTCTATTTTGTCATTAATCAAAATTGCTTTAAAGGTCAAAAACCCGACACAAACTCTTGATTCAGCAATTAACTAAAGGTGTCGGCACCTTATTCTGGGGGGCGATCCCTTGGCCAATTTGAGCAACTCAGCACAGAGTGTATGTTTTTTTAGTGTGGCTCTCATATCTATGCCAGCTAGGTTTTTTCCACCCTTATAAATACTTATTTAATATTAGAATTGAAGGGGTTTTTAGGAGGAGGTTGGTAGTAACCTTTTTCTTGGCACTCTTATATATTAAAATAGAAGGGATAATAAAAAATCTATTAATAATAAAATATTAAAAGTTTTAACTTTTTAAAATTAAATTTCTGTTTTTTAGATTATTTTTATTTGTTATTTGATATTTTTATATTTATAAGGTAAAATATCTAAATTCACCTTCAAAATATAATAATAAAAACAGATTCACTTCTGAATAAGAAATAGAAATAAATTTACTTATAAAATTTTTGACTTAAATAAATAACCTATTATTTAACAAACCACGTCAACTAACGTCATCTTTTTGTTAATCAGATGCTTACTGAGACATTTTAAACAGCATGGGGGTTCTTTGGCCTGCATGGATATTGATTTGGGTCATTCCCACCCATTTTAATCCTATATGGCTATTTTTGTCCTTTTCCCATTACACATCAACTGCCCCCCTAAAAATATATAATCCCTAAAATAATCAGATCAGATTGCAGCGTCGACAAGCTCAACAATGATGGTGAACAATGCAGTGTTTAGTTGGACGGTGGTGGCACAATTAATCACCACTGTGGCCACCGCAACTGAACATACCAACCACACCGTTGGTGGCGACGCCGGCTGGTTCTTTGACTTCGCCACCAACACCTCTGCTACCAGTTACACTTCCTGAGTCACAAATCAAACATTCAATCTTGGACACTATCTCAGTAAGGCTCAACACTTTTCCATGATCACATCTCTCTTCTTCTTTTTTTTTTTTATTTTTTTTTTAGAATGTTCGATTGGTTTTGACGGTGAATTTGGATCAAATCCTTGTTTGGGTAATGAATTTATTCTCATTTGGAATGGCAATTCAAAACAAATAATTAATCTCTCTTCTTTTTTTTTTTCTAATTTTTTTTTTCATATTTTCTCATGATCCAAACAATATCCAGGACCAACACAAACCAAATCGTGATCCAAACTTTCAACAAGACTACTTTCCAAAGCTGCTCAATGGACGATGAATCCGACGATGATACATTCCAGTACAATGGAGGCAGCGTAGCATTCGATGAATCGCAGACCATCGCGATGCCATTAACTGAAAAAGGCTCCAACTACTTCTTCTCCGACACAAATGATGGCATCCAGTGCCAAAATGGCCTAGCATTTGGGAACTCCGTCAATCATGGCCTCGAATTGCTTCCCAACCTTAACCAGCCGTCTCCTCTGCTCACATTGAATCGCCTAGACTCGATGCCCAATCGCCGTCGATTACAATTGTAGCTGGTTCGCTGTCGCTGCAAAATGGCGTGTTGAGCCTTGAATATACTCAAATGGTGGTCCATTGTCGAGAATTGGAGGAAGATGCCATGGAATCAGCTTCCCCTAACCCAGATTTGAAGGATAAAGGAAGACCTAACCCATGTTTTCAGGAGAAAGGGGAAGGAAGGGGAAAGACACAAATAAAATTTGGGATTTTTTCAGGGATTATTTTAAGTGGGGCCCAATTGACGTGTAATGGGAAAGGGCCACGTAGGATTAAAATGAGTGGGAATGGCCTAGGTCAGTGTCCATGCAGGCCAAAAAATCTTATGGTGTTTAAAATGTCTTAGTAAACTCCTGATTAATGAAAAGATGAAGTTAGCTTACGTGGCTCGTTAAATAATAAGTTATTTGTCCAAATCGAAAATTTTGTAGGTGAATTTGTCTTTGTTCTTTGTTTGGAATGGATCCGTCTCTACTTTGGGGGTGGAATTTGGGTATTTTACCCATTTATAACTATAATTTTGAGTTTCATCATTTTTATTATAAAGGATCAAACCCCTATTTGCACCCTTCATTTATTTTATTTTCATGGTTAACACCTTACATTATTTTTCTTGCTTATTCACACCCTCCATTTTTTCAAATCCGTCAAAAACCCAATATTTTATCTGGTTGTAACGGAAACGTTAATAACCGTTAAAAATTATAATACGTGGCACCAAACAGTAACATAAACATTATATCACCTGATTAATACAACGTGGACATTTTTTTTTTTTGATAACGTGGCATTTCTTCATCTTTTTCTTTCCCTCTCATCCTTACCCCCCTTATCCTTTGCATCATCTTCACCATCCTCTTCTCCTCTTCTCAATGGGTTCCTTGTGAGGAACCTAGATTATGGGTTTTGACCCCTTTTTTTTTCATTTTTTTATTTGAATGTATTTATCTTAGTTTCCTATTTTATGCAAAGCAATTTGGAATAATTTTTTTGTTGGAAAGGTGAGTTCATTTGCTTGGAGATTGTTTCTGAATAGGTTGCCAATTTGATTTCAAGTGGGATTAACATGAATGGCAATAACGGTTTTTTCATTTTTTGTGGGAAAGGGGTGGAAGACGCATATCATGTTTTTGTGTAGTATTCATTTACTTATAATTGTGTGGATGAAGATCTTAGCTTGGGTTACACAAGGAACTCAGAACCTGGGTTATGCAAGGAACCCAAGAGGATGAGGACAAGGATGGTGAAGATGATACCGAGAAAGAAGAAAATGAAGAAATTAAAATTAATTGTGATTTAATTATAACATATTATATATAAAAAAAGGTTCACATTGGATTAATAAATGTGACATAACGTCTTGGGTTCCTGGTTCCATGAGGAACCCAAGAGGATGAGGAGGAAGATGGTAAAGATATGCCGGGAAATAAGAAAATGAAGAAATTAAAATTAATTATGATTTAATTACGCCACATCATAAAAAAAAAAAAAAGTCCACATTGGATTATTAAGGTGACATAATGTTCATGTTACTGTTTGGTGCCACATATTACAATTTTTAACGGTTATTAATGTTCCATTACGGCCAATTAAAATATTGGGTTTTTGACGGATTTGAAAAAGTGGAGGGTGTGAATAAAGAGGAAAAATATTGTAAGGTGTTGACTGTAAAAATAAAATAAATGGAGGGTGCAAATAGGGGTCTGGCCTATTATAAATTAACTAAGTCAATTATGGTTGCAATGTAACCTAATTAATTTAATATATATTTTATGATTTTTATACCTTCAACTAAAATTATTTATATGATAAGTTTTTATTATTGAGTTTAATGTTTTAAAAGTTCAACCACCTTTTGAAGGTTATGTAATTTATGTATGAACTTGAAAAATGATATTAATTGTGTAAATTAAACCTATAACAATGAAACTGTATTAGATTATGATATTGAAAAGTAATTAGTATCAAATATGATAGTGGAAGCAGAGAAGAGAATTAATTAAGAACTCCCATTTTTTAAGTTAAAGGTTTTCATGCACTTTACTTAATACTAACTGATTTATTCTAAATGACATAGATAGATGATTAATTTAATAAATAGATGAAAGATTAACTTGATTTAAAAAAAAAAGTAGTTAGTTAATTTTGAAAATCCATTATCACATGCAATAACACTTATCAAATTAATTTTAAAGTTATATTAATCTAGAATTTCCTTTGACTAATGATGATGAAATAGAATACCTTGATACCTTTTATTTTAATTGTTATTTTTTATTATTTTCTAATTAGAAATTTATTTCTCTTTTATTGTTTCAATAAATTAAAATTAATTATTTTTTATACTTAATTAATTATAATCCTCACAAATTTAGAACTCTTTTTTATTTTTATATTCTTTAAAGCTATTAATATACTTACTAGAATGCTTTTAGGGCATCATATTCATACTCCATCCAAGTTGTTGCATGATGTCAAACATAGTTGCTTCTATTTGTGTTTCATCGCTTTTTCTTTTTAAACAAATATCGCTCCTTTGGTGCATTTCTCTACTCCTCCTTCGCGGCTTTATTGGCGTGGACATCATTTTCGCGCGTTATGTTACCTTCTTCTTTATTTTATTTATTAATTTATTTTTGAACACAGAAAAATTTGGCAAAAAGGATGATTAACTACTTACAAAGTAAGTGTATTTCTTGTTAATTAAACTCTAACAAGTTAGGAATACAATGGATGCATATTGCCACCTCAAGTCTCAAAAGAAACTGGAAATGCCGTTTGTTCCCTTTCAATATATTTCGAAATGGCATAAAAGTTCCCTATCAATTCCTTAATTACTACGAATGATGGCAAAAATTTCAAAAAAAAAAAAATTCCTTCTACTGATCTCCAAAAGGAAAATTCCTTCCTTTTAGGAGGGGTTTGGTATAACAAGAATCTTGGGAAATAGTCGACAATTAAGTTTATTATGGATAAAAATTTTTAATGTTTAATTTTTATAACTTTAAAGTTTATTGATAAATTTTACTTCCTAAGAAAAAAATTAGATTTTAACTTAGATTCTTTTTTTTTATTAAAATTACGAGAATAAAAAAAACTTTTCTGAACAAGTGGCATGATGAGGATTGAGGAGCAAATAAATGCCAAAATTGCCTTATACGTATATTTTGTTATTTAGTGAAGAAAATGATATGAATATTCTTATAATTTTCTTGGTAAACTTCTATAATCAATTACATAATTTCTATAATTGATTATATTCATACAAAAACTAAAAAAACTAACTACTTAACAAAAGAGTGAGTAATTGAATTTTTTTTTTTATATAGTAGACTTTGTTATAATTAACCGTATATATATTATTTTATAATTAATTATATTTTAGATCAATTATGTTTTGTTTTGTAACTAATTATATTTTGTTTTATAAATGTATTATATTTTAGTTTGTAATTGATTATATTTTACTTTATAACCAATTATTTTAATTTTGTAATCAATTATATTTTACTTTGTAAGTTGCTATATTTTCCTTGATAAACAATTATATTTTACTTTGTAATAATAACTTAAATTAAAAGAAAAATATAACCAATCATATTTTTCAATATAGGCGATTATAATTATTAAAAGGAAATTTCCTCAAAAGTAATTAAACATAGGAATCTCGCACAAACAATTCACCTAGCAACATAATCTGCCTTGCAAAACAATCCGCCCAGAAACATAATCTATCTGGAAAAACAATGCTGCTCTAACCAAACAAGACTCAATGTTTTGTTATTACCTATTTTTAGTTTTTCCAGAAAAGTTTCTAAGATGTGGGGCAACAAAAATATCCAGCACATGCTTGCTCATCCTAAGTTTAATAAGTGCATAGGGAGTCGATGAAAAATGTAGTACTCATCAAACCACATTCCTGCACAATGAAAAACTTTCAGAAGACTTTCAATGAATAAGAATCAAAGGTAATAAGTTGTTTTTGTGACATACCTATGACTCCTCTCTTTCAGAAATAAAAACTGGAAACGAGATTGTGATAACCAAGAAATTAATGGATCGACAAACTGCAAGCATACTAGACCACCGTTTTGCTTGGTCAAGACGCTTCCCTTCCTCTTCCTATTGCTCCATGGTGTGAGTCTCATACCACCTCATCAGGTTCTTCAAAAGCTTGAACCTAAAGTACCAATGAGTTAATTCACATGGTGAGTAGTGATGAGTTATACCTTCCCAAAATCTTTGAAGCTGCTCTGCATCTCCTACTCTACTACTCCCATAAATAGCTTGCTGTCAAAAAACTTAGTGGCCAAAGGAATGGGATGCCAGATATATATACTTCCATGAACAAAAGATATTGTAGATGGTCATAATTTCAAGGAAGAAGACGAGTGAGGTTTGACAAATTGAAGATATGTGAGTCACAATTCAAGGCGAGTAATCAAACCTATAATCAAATAGCAATAAATGGAATAACTCATCTTATATTAAAGTAACGCATATTTCTTTTCATATTTTGATACGAGATTTTTCCACTAAACAAATTTATTGCATCCTTCAATATATCAAGCTGCTGAAGCGCAAAGAATTTTCTTGTAATGCGAATGCTTTTCAGCTTTAATTGTATAGTAATTACTTGTAAAGCAAGGTTCACTTGAACAACAGCTGATCCATAAGGGGCATTTCACACCACTATAGACCCTAATATATAGTTGTGCTTCGTTGGAGGCCTTCTAACACATCATCATCAAGTTCCCATTCTCTTCTGTAACTATCATCTCATTCCAAGTTCAACTAGTAGATTCTAGTCTTTCCAAGCTGTTTTGCTTTCTCGGCTTGTGATTTGTCTTCAGCATATATCTTTAACTTCATAAATCGGTTCAATTAAGCATCCTAATTCTTCTGTTCAAAGTCCCCTTCGTTGATCAACAACAGATAATTGCAGGGTTTGAAGATTTGTTAGTCTGTCAATTTCCGTTAGCATCCACTTTTTACTAGGCCAAATTGACCAAGTTTCTCATTCCCCGAATTCCTTGGGGCTGCCTTTCGAGGAGAAGTTGGAATGTTGGTAAGAAAATTAGATGAAGCAAGTCATTCACCATTTTTCCTTTTTCCTTTTGTAAGTGAGGTTAGTGTACCTTAAGATTTGTAAGTAATTTATAGAGAAGGGGTAACCACAAATCATGCACAAAGCACATTTCATGTTAATCATGCTACAACAACAAATGCAGATATATGTACCCAAAAAAGGGCAAGTTAATCATACTTTTTGAGGCTAGACAAATACATAGCATCACTGTTATGCCAAATATGAGGCTAACAATCATCAATGAAGGAAGAACCTAAATTCTTTTCAGGTTTAATCGCTATTCTTGATTCAAGAAGGAAGCTACATGTTTCATCAAATCCTTCGCCTTCTCACAGGCAGGGTTAAACAAGTGAAAGGCATGGTCCTCTCCTTCTGTCTCCACAACCTGAGCAGTCCCACTCCATCCACTCTTCTTCAATGCCTCATAATAACTACATCCTCTATCTTTCAACCAATCTTTTCCTGCAACGAACACCAGAACCTTGGAGCACCCTAGTTGAGCTAGCTCCGCACCAGCACTAACCGGGTTCATCCTTGGGTCATTGCAGCCACTACTTGAGGGAAAAATAAATTCTATCAGCTTATCAGGCTCGTTGTTCATGAAAAATGGGTGGACCAAAACCAAACCGTGTATTCTCACAGCATCCAGACCATCAACGCCTACTTTCATTGCCGAGTTATGAGCAATATTAGCCCCGGCACTATCACCAGCCAAGAAAACTCTCTGAAAATCGACATGATCATTCAGCCAGGGTTCAGGACCGTTGCCCTTTACATGTGAAGCTGCCCACTTGATTGCTTCCCAGGTATCATCATATGCAGTAGGGAGAGGGTGCTCTGGAGCTCTTCTATACTGCACAGAAACTGCTATCACATTAGCTTCATTGACCAGCGAAGTGAGATAGCGATGGTATATAGGAGAAAAAGGAGATGCAACCGAAAACGCACCTCCATGGATGTATATAAGAAGAGGGAGTCTCTGATGGGGGCTTCTGAGTTTTGGAAGAAAGAGGCGAGCAGAGAGGTTGTTCTCAGTTGAGACTATGATATCTTTAGACTGGACACCAGTATGGGGGTCAGTGGAGGGTGGTATGGTTTCTGTGCCCATAAGCCTCTCCACACGGCCATCTTTGTATATACGGAACAAAGGAAGGAACTCATGGACTATATCCGAGGAGTTGGAATCCATGGTAAAGAAACACAGAAGAGAAGATTGAGAAGCTCAAAGCCTCAAGTAATGAATATAACAAACTGATATGAACTGAAGTCCTCTCAATATTCACCTAACAGTGAAGATGGAATGGTTGGTGAAGGTTGAACCAACAGTCCAACTCCATCAAAAGGTCAAGTCACCGACTAACCCAGAAAAATAATCCATATGTGCTTTCTTTATCAGGATTAAGTAGGTTTTTTTTTTTTTTATAATCATTAGGATTTAGCAGTTGAAGAGAGAAATCCATTGTAAACAAAATACATATCTAAAGGGAAATATGGTTACTAACAAACTAATAGAAAACGTAGAAAGGAAACAAAGAACCATCACAAATGATCAGGTGAAGCTAAACAGACAATGAAAACTCTAACAGACAAACTAGCAAATACCTGGCGCGCCAAGGTATGTAAACCATTTATCATGCCAAATCGTTATTTAAGGAAGCACCTCACACTATTTCTAATAGGAAGTCCATCCTCTATCTTATAACCAATCTTTCTCTGAAACATAAATCAAAGCCCTGGCACAGCTCATTCAAGCCAGCTCCTCAAAAGCAATTTCCAGATCTAAAAAACTTACTCCGGATGTGTGTCAAGTTTCTCTTCACTCAAGGAGTTCAGCCAGGTCCCAAGGGAGAAGAAATCAACTAACTGGTGGCATGAGTATTTGTTGAAGCTAAAATCTTTTGACATCAGTTGGAGTGTTGTGTGGTTGAAGACAACTGATTATTTTGACATACATGGATCCCTCTCTTAGAGATTGGAGCAATCATCACCTGCACCCCAATGTTGGCTTTGAGACAGTTTAATGATGAACAAATTAGGCCTGATTTGGAGGATATATCTGAATTGCAGAGGGCCAATAACTTCACAAATGTCTAAGTCTCTTCTTGTTATGTATTTTTGTTATAAACTAGATAGATAAATATAAAAGGAAATTTATTAATATCATCAAGAAAAGCAAACAAGGACGGGCAGAATGTTTTGTTTCTAAACATTGAAGTTGAAACTTATATTACCACCAGCGTCTACGTCGGCTATGACTGAGCTACCCTCCTTCACAAATCCATTCAAAATTTTATCAGCCAAATTGTCCTCTAACATCCTCACAATTGCCCTCTTTAATGGCCTCGCTCCATAACAAGGGTTGCTGCCTTCCTTCAACACCCTCTTCTTCAACTTCTCTGTCACTTGAAGACCAATGTCCTTCGCCTCCTTGACCCTTTCAGACACTTGTTGTATCATTACATCCACAATTTTCTCCAACTGATCCTCATTCAGCTTCTTGAACACAATTACTTCATCAATTCTGTTCAAAAACTCTGCCCTGAAATTTTTCTTTAGTTCTTGGCTCACCTTCCAATTAGGGCCTCCATCCAAAACCACATCCCCCCCAACATTAGAAGTCATTATTATTATAGTGTTTTTGAAATCAACCGTCTTTCCTGTGTTATCAGTAAGCCTCCCATCTTCCAAAATTTGCAGCATTACATTGAGAATATCATAATGAGCCTTTTCAATCTCATCAAATAGGATCACGGTATGAGGCTTTTGACGTATCAAATTAGTAAGCTGGCCTCCCTCATCATATCCAATGTATCCAGGTGGAGACCCGAAAATCCTGGAAACACTATGCCTCTCCATGTATTCACTCATATCCACCCTCACCATTGCTTCTTTTGACCCAAAATATTCAACAGCCAATGCATTGGCCAGTTCTGTTTTTCCTACACCTGTAGGACCAGTGAATAAAAAGCTTGCTATTGGCCGTGATGGATCTCTGATTCCAACTCTGCTTCTCCGAATTGCCTTGCTTATTGCCACCACAGCTTCATCTTGTCCTACGATGTGCTTTTGCAAACTATCCTCCATTTGCAGCAGCTTTGGAAGCTCTTCTAAAGAAAAATTCTCCACGGGAATTCCTGTCAACTGTGCCACAACTTTTTGTATATCAACTTCTGTCACTTGAGATGTATCTGGTAAGTTTTTGAGCCGAACTCCTGCACCGGCTTCATCAATCAAGTCTATTGCCTTGTCAGGTAGAGAACGATCACTGAAGTGAAGCATACATGTAACATTAATTTTCAGTATTTCTACGTAAAGCTGAAAATCAACATATGAAAGCAGTAAATATTATCAAACCTGATATACTGATGTGACAATTTAGCTGCTGCCACTATGGCTTTCTCAGTGTAGTTTACATTGTGGTGTGTTTCATACTTAGTCTTTAATCCTTTTATGGTCTCGATTGTCTCTTCAACAGTGGACTCGCGTACTTCAAAAGGTTGAAATAGCCTCTTTAGAACCCAATATTTCTCTCTGTAACATCTGTACTCCTCTGTACTAGTTGCACCAATGCACTACAATACAACAAAAGCATATATTACCATCGTATACATATTATGTAAAAGTGTTTTTGCTGCTCATCTTTCTTTTTTTTTAGAGAATTTATTTAAAAACTTATCTTTATCGTTAGATTGAAAATTTTATTTATATAAATCATATGTAATACTATTAAATACATGTCAATAAATGAAATTTATTTTATTAAAAAGTTATAAATGTTAAATTAATATAAAAATTGACATATATGATATGCATAAATAAAATTTTGAATCTAATT